CTGTCACAGGTGAGGGGGCTGTGGGCACTATCTATGGCCTTTTGGAAATTGTTTTGTCGTGTAACATCATCTGTGTTTTTTATCTGTTCTGAGTTTTTTTGACTTTTTTGGCACTGGGATCATCAGGTAGGTGGTGACATCAGCTAGGTGGTGACAATTGATGGCATGGGAGCATTGAAATATGGAGGGACTGAGGGTTGGGGATGGATGGATGGATGGATGTTCACATCTTGCATATCTCTCGGTTGCAGCCCCAGTTCTACAAGAAGGAAAAGCACCATCTCAGCCCCGCCTTGGCAACCTCACCGCTTCCCACATCACCTCTGACTCCATCCAGCTGGAGTGGAGCATCCCTGAGGGCACCTTTGACTCCTTCACGGTGCAGTACAGGGATGCCCAAGGGCAGCCCGAGTCACTGCTCGTGGATGGAGAGTCCCACACGGTGACCGTGCCTGGGCTGTCACCGTCTCACCGATACAATTTCTATCTGTACGCTGTGTCGGGGCAGAAACGTCTGGGTCCCATCTCACTTGACACCATTACAGGTGAGGGTGTGTTCTAGATCAGTGTATGTCCCCTTTGGGCACTGGTTTGGAGTGTGGGAGGAGCTGGGGCTTGGTCTCTTTGGTCTTGTGGGAAATGGGAATATCTCTCAGATGTTGATTAGGGTTGGATGGAGCAGGCAAAGTTGGAGGGATCGTGGGAGAGGTTGATGAAAGAGGGTTTCTTGGATGGATGGATGGATGGATGGATGGAAGGATGGATGAAAAGATGAATGGATGGATGGATTAGTGGATGGAAGGCTTGGTGGATGGATAGAAAGAAGGTTGGGTGGGTGGATGGATTATTGGACGGAAGTTTGGGTGGATAGGTGGATGGGAAGTTGGGTGGGTGGATGGATGGATTGATTAATCGATGGGAGGATGGATAGAAAGACTGTTGAGTGGATGGATATGTGGATTAATCAATGGAAGTTTGGGTGGCTGGAGGGATGGATGGGTGCATGCAAGTTTGAAGAGACTGGGGTGATATGGGTGGCTGGATGGCTTATTGTTATCCACATAGTTGGGTGGATGGAAGGATGATGGATGGAGGGAGAGAGACAGTTGGATGGAGAGAGGTCAGAGGGATGGATGGTGGCATGGGTTGATGGATGGATGGTTAGAGGAATGGTTGGTTGTTGAACCAATGGATGGATGGATGGATGGGTTGATGTTTATGCTCTTCATTGTGCCCTCTCTTTTGCAGCTCCAGCTCCACAAAAGGAGAAATCACCCTCCCAGCCCCGCCTGGGCGAGCTCATGGCCACTCATGTCACCCCCGAGTCCGTGCAGCTGGAGTGGAGCGTCCCCGAGGGCACCTTTGACTCCTTCACGGTGCAGTACAAGGATGCCCAAGGGCAGCCGCAGGTGCTGCCCGTGGACGGTGGTTTGCACATGGTGACTGTGCCTGGGCTGTCCCCGTCCCAGCTCTACAAGTTCAACCTGTACGGGGTGTGGGGTCAGAAACGTCTGGGCCCCATCTCCACGGACGCTGTCACAGGTGAGGGGGCTGCTGTGTCCCCTTTAAGTGCTGTTTTTGGGGTGGTGGCAGGAGTTTGGGCAAGGCTCATCTTGGTCCTTTAGGTCTTGTGCGAACTGGGAACATCTCTTGGGTTCTAAGGAGGCTCTGGATGACGGGATGGGTGTGTGCATGGTTGGAGGACTGGATGGATGGAAGGAAGTTGCTTCTTTGATGTTTTGGCTGTTTGGATGACTGGGTGAATCCCTGGCTGGATGGATCCATGGAACAGTGGGACCAAATTCTTGGTGCCAAGTGTGGGATTGATAGAGGGATGAGAGATGAAGGTTGGGGGGGGTGGAATGACAGACTGATGGGTGTGTGGACAAAGGATGGATGGATGTTTATTAGTTGGTTGAATGAGTGGATGGACTGAAGGTTAGTTGGACAGACAGATGGACAATGGAGGGTTGGATGGATGGGTGGATGAAAGGTTGTTTGGATGGATGAAAGGTTGGCTGGCAAGACAGATGATCTGATGGCTGGTTGGAGAGATGGATGGGTGGCTTTATTGGTGGAGGGAGATTGGTTGGTTTGACAGATGGTTGACTTGACAGTTGGATAGATGGATGGATGACTGGGGGTTTAATGGATGGACTGTTAGTTGGTTGGACAGTTGGACTATTGGAGGGTTGGAAAGGTAGATGTACAGTTGGATAGATGGGTGAATGGTTGATGCTGGACACTTGCATGGTTGGTTGGACAACTGGACAACTGATGGTTCGTGGTTGGATGGCTGACAATTGGATGGTTGGACAGTTGATGTTTGACTGTTGGACGGTTGATGGTTGGATGGTTGGTTGGAGTGATCATAGAATCATAGAATCGTCCAGGTTGGAAGAGACCCTTGGGATCATCGAGTCCAACCATCTCCCCTACTCTACAAAGTCCTCCCCTACACCATGTCCCTCAGCACTGCATCTAAACGGCCCTTAAACACAGCCAGGGATGGGGACTCCCCCCCCTCCCTGGGCAGCCTGTTCGTCCGTCCTGGCTGGGGGGTCCCTGGTGGAGAGCATCCTCTGGGGGGTGTGGGTGGGGGACCCTGAGGTGCTACAGGGGGTCTGGCTGTGGGGGGTGTCCATGGGAATTTCTGTGGGGCTGGGGTGTGTGTGTGTCTGACTGGGGGAGCAAGTGGGTGGGTGGGTCCTTGGGGGGCTGGGGTGTGTCAGTGGCTGCCCCCTCCCCCACGCAGGTGCCCCAGGGACCCTCTGGGTGGGGACTGTGTGGCCCCGCAGTGCCCGGCTACACTGGGCACCCCCCCGTGTGCCCCCTGATGGCTACGACCTTGTCTACGGACCCCCCGGGGGACCCCAGAAGGTAACACCACCAGTCCCCCACCCCAAAGCACCCCGAAACGCCCGGGCAGTAATGCCCTGGGGACCCCGATGTCCCCCTGAAGACTCCAATAAACCCCCCGGAGACTCCAACACCCCTCCCCAGGGTCACCCAAATTACCCCCCTCTCC